AATATTTATAATGAATTTTAATAATTTTTTCGGATTTTTTTTAAGCTTTATTCTGACCGATTTACTCGATTTCCGATCCGGATCGCTGATTCGCCGATCCAAATCGGTTTTTTGGAAGCCCGATCCGGGTCACCGATCCTTTTTTTAAACCATTGCTTTTAATAAATATTTGCAAGAAGCTGAGAAGAATAGAATTTCTTTAAAACCATGAAATAAAAAATTAATTAAAATACACTAAAATAAGATTAGAGGGAGACCAAAAAATTTTAAATGCTATTTTAAATGGAGGAATCAAGACAGACATAGTTCAGATGAAAAATATTGATAGAAAGCTAGAGGAGATCGGATCAAAATTTATAATTGAAAAATAAAAATTACTCAAGTATCTAAAAAATACTTATATATACTTAATCATGTATTCTTTGTTAAAAATATAATATTATAATTATAAACCTAATCTAAGGTTAGAATAGGCATAATACATTTAAAATATAAAAAGTCATAATTAAAATACATATAAAGGGAAAAATTGTAATGAAAATAAATTGATACATAATTTAATATAAGAATAATAAAAGAAAAAACAACATTTTTTTTAGCATTCATGATTAATGGGCCTTACCTAAAAAGATAAAAGTAACTTATACCGAAAAACAAAAAATAATAGGGAAAATATATCCATACCCCTTATTATTGTAGATTTTATTTCTTCTAAACCTGAGCTAATTTAAACTTGCTTTTTTAGGTCAAACAAATCTAAAAAAAATGCCTTTTCTAAAAACCATCATCCCTTTCTCCTCTTTCCTTTCATGTGTTTCTCTCTCCCCATCTGCGACACCCATATTTTCTCTCTCCTTGCCAAACCTATCTCTCTAATTCCCCATTTTTTCTCCTCGTGTCTCTCACTCTGTTACTCCCCCAACTCTTTTTCTCTCCCGGTGATGGAGAAATTGCAAAACCCAACCAGGATCAATTTGATAGACAAATTACATAATCCAATTTGGCTGCAAACCCATATGAAACCTCCGATTTAACTGTGAACCCACCCATCTCAAAGTGCAAAATATATGTTTTGGGAACCTTTGAAAGCTCAAAAAATGTCTTTTGAGAACTATATCTATACTGGTTCTTGACAATATTTACTTATGTCCATTGAAGCTTTGTGATCCATCTATGTTCTTCATATAATTTTAAATATTTATTTTGTAGATAAAGGGTTAGGTGTGAAGAGAGAGTGGGAGACAGGGGGAGAGAAAAAGAATAGGAAATACAGAAAGAAAGAGAGGATAAAGAGAGAAAAAATAAGGGAAAATATAAGAGAAGAGAGAGAGGGGGGTTTGAAGATGGGGTGAGAGAGATCAGGAAGAGGGCACATGAAGAGAGAGCGTAAGAGACCGACATAAAAAAAATGGAGAATACAGAAAGAGAGAGAGGACTCAGAGAGAAAAAATAGTAGAATACAGAAAGAAAGAGAGAGACGATTGGGAGAGAAAAAATAGGGGAATACAGAGAGAGAGAGAGAGAGGGCCTTGAGAGATGGGAAGAGAAAGAACGGGAAGAGAGAGAAGGGTTAAAAAAAATGCATTTTTGTAAGTTTGACAAGAGGAGAGAGAGACCTTGGAAGAGAGAGAAAGAGAGAAGTTTTGGGTTTATAGGTGAAGAGAGAGAAATGATTGGATTTAAAAAGAGTATGTCTTTATCTTATTTGTTTAGGTTAAAAAATAGCTTTAAAGTGACCAAGGGGTTAGAAGATATCTTTTGAATCTTTGAGTTCATCAAAATAAAACTTTGGGTTCATCAAAAAATGAAACTTAAAAATAGAAGATATGGAGATATTTTTCCAAAATAATACTTCTCAATAGAGAGATCAAACAAGACATAATCTATTTAGAAAATAGGCAAGAGAAAACTAGAAGAGAGAGTAATATAAATAAATAAGAGATATTTACCAAGGGAGAGATTGAGAGAGAGATTTAAGTATATAGAGATGAATAAGAGAGAAGAGAGACTACATGAGAGAAAATGTTTTTCTTAAAGAGAAATAGGGAGAGAGAGATTGAGAGAGAGATAAGTGAGAAAGGAGAGAGGTTACTAGAGAGATTTAAGGAGGCAGTTATAATATGGAAAGACATTAATTATGTGTTACATAAGACAAAAATAAGGGGAGAGAGTAAATTAAATAGAGAGGGGAGAGAAATATGAGATGTAGTGAGAGTAAATCAAATAGAAAGACATCATACTGAAAATGAGTTACATATAAACATCATACTAAAAAAAGCATATTTATGTCTTTCTATGCATGTAGGAGGAAGAAAGAAATAGAGAAGAGATGTAGGAAAGAGATAGGGAAAGATAGTAAATTAAAATAGAGATAGAGACAAAAATTGAAATGTCAAAAATGTAATAAAGAAAAAAAAGAAGACACTAGGCATGATAATAAGATGGGTGCTCCGCTCGCTTTATATATAACTAGTTGAATTAACATAAAATTTAAAATTAATTGTCGAAGAGTGATCAAATGTTCAATGACCAAAGATATCTACTAGGCAATCGTTTGACGTTAGATGGTAAAAAGTGCAAAAGTTGTTTTTCTTAATTATTATTTCTTTCAACCTTTTTAAAACCAGCCATTGAAGTT